TCCCCCAGCAGTGGCATCCCCAGAGTCACAGGTTCCTGCTGGCTGCACCGCTCCTTGAGCCTGTTTTCAGTCACGGCCCAGCTAACTCACTAACAAGGCACGTGCATCTCTCAGAACCATCCTCGGCCTGTGGCGGAAGTTAGTGCTGGCTTGACAGCACTGGGCGCCCCTGACCCCTAAGCAGGGGCAGCGCTGGCAGCCTCCGCGTTTCCCCAGTATCTTCCCTGACCAGTGTAGAGGGGGATTCGGGCTCTGTGGCTGTTTCAGGCCTTGGGGACACATCAGATGGTAACTCGCCATCTCTGTTGGGCTGGATTCCTGCTTACGTTCCCTTGAACCATCCAGTGTCTCAACCCGGTGCCCTACTTCCCCCCCGCCCTCTTCAAATAAAAAGTGGGTCTTTCCTCAGGAAGAGGAGCAGGTTTCTGTAAACTACCTGAGCTACTCCCGTAAAGAGAGGCTGCTGAAATCAGCTCGGACAGCTATGGGGAGAGGAGGTCACAGCAATCCTTGCACCTGTCTTGTAAACAGATATATATATACCCAGATATGCAGGGCTATTAATATTGGCTATAAGTACAGCTCCCACAGCAAGCTCAGCAGTTTGTCAAACGCTTCACATGGCAAACTGTCCCACCAGAATATTGAGTGTAAGGCATGAAGTAGGGGAAGATTTAATAACCCCCACATCTGCTCTTTTGAGCTGGGAGGAGAATCTGGAGTGCGGCAGGCCATCCTGCAAACTGAACATTGTACTCCTGACCCTTCCCGTCCTGAAGGACAGATGCGTGTGCACAGACATGCTCTTCCTGATTCGCTGACCAGGGCAGAGCTGGTTACCTCATGCAGGTCAGCTAATGTCATCTGTGGTCTTAACACCCTCTCTTTACCTCTATTGGCAATGGCAGCTGAACCTTTTATGCGCATTTAATGATCCCTGGCAGTTGTACTAATAAGGATACAAGTATTTGAAAGCTGTAGGCACACCTAGAGGTGAGATGACAACCATATGGTGAAAATTAAAAGTTACATACAGAGGTGTGGGATTTGTGCTGCTCCTAGCAGTCTGGGCTGCTATCTGCATGCATATCAGAGAGGACAAAGGTCTCCTGCATCAGACCTGTGTGGACAGTTCTTTCTTTGCTTGTCTTATTGCCTTATCACAGCTCTGTGCCCTTTGGGTCACCTCCCTGAGCATAGAAAAGGGAAGATCTATCCGTTCCCCAAAGCCTGGGGTTCTGGGATTTCCCTGGCAAGGAGGACTCCCCCAAAAGACAGCTGTATTTTCAATTCAGAAAACAGGTACCTGTGCATCACTTTCGGCCTACCCCATGGAACTAGTTCAGGAATCCTGGCTTGTGTCCTCAGACTCTAGATTGTCTCAGTGGGATTGCTACTAAACACCTTTTTATGTGGCTCCCAGCCTATGTTAATGGGCATCACGGAGCCCAGCAAACATGGAAGGGAAGTGCAGGGACCTTTGGCACATGGAGTCTATCACAGCTCTTCCAATGGAAGGATTCCACACCAAGGGAGAAAGTAGCTTGAGGCGCCCTCTCTGTCGCTGTATCTCACGTATTTGTCAGTCTCTAGTTTCTAAGCCCTGATTTTCCTCCCACCACAGAGGAGTTGGGAGAAAACTTGGAAAGCTGGTTGGATTGGGTGTGCCGTGTGATCTGACTAATTGGACCAGGGCCTCTAAAGATACCATGGGAGCTCCCCGTTGCTTTGCAGCCCTGAAAATGCTTGTCACTGTTCTAGTCTAGTGAGTCTTGTACTCCCACTCACTGGGAGAACAAGGGACTCTCCCACCTGCATGTTACAGCTAGCAGAACATTCAGTAGGGGAGTGATAATGGAATATGGAGTCTTGTGCTCCTAGGTGACTGGTTTAAATCCAGCCCTGGTTGGTAGTGTCTGAAAAAATCTTATTTACCGTCTTACTGGCTTTCAGTGACCCGTGTGTGAAACAAATTTGTTGGTTACAGTCCAGTTCCCACTAGTCAATCATCCATGTCACTGACTCCCATACGGACACTAACTGGTGCCTTAGCTGACAGCCTCAACAGGGACAGCAATGACCCATAGATTCCAAGGTCTGAAGGGGCCACTGTGATCCTCTAATCTGCTCTCCTGTAGAACACAGGCCAGAGAAAGTCCCCAAAATAATTCAAATCAGCTGCAGAAAACTGACTTCCCGTCTCGTCTCAAATAAAGGCTGAGGATGTTTCCAGGAGAGGGAAGCTTGCACTGCCAGTCCTGTTCAGAGCATATTTACAGTAGCACAAAACGTGCTTCATTAACAATTGTGGTTTTAAAAACCTCAAGGTTCCTTTACTCTTGGTCTTAGTCAGCACATGGCTGTGGCTGGGAGGATCAGGGAAACCCACAGAAGCCAGTTAGCTAATGAAACCTCTGAAACACCAGCTCAAACTCTCTTTTTTGTAAGAGAGGCAAACTTTGAGCTTCCCTGAGAATGCGGAACTTGCAAGGTTATTGTGAGCTCTTTGGAGCTTTTAGTTCTGTGTTTGTGTAGCACCTAGTACAAAGGGGTCCTGGTCCAGGAGGACTAAGGCTGCGTGGTCCTGCCACAGTATAAATAATGTGTGGTTGCTTTGAGCTGAGGGGATGTGTGGAGAGGGAGAAGAGCTCTCAGAAATGGTCCGTTTGTGAGGACTTGCACTGGGTAATCAGTAAAACAATCTGTATCACTGGTTAGTGATGAAATTCTTGAAATATATTGAATCTTGCTTCCTTCTTCAAGGTGACCCTTCGGCACATCTCACTCACACTGCCTGTGTATAAATGGCGTAAAGGGATCCCGCTGGCTAGCTTAGATTTTGCAATAAGCGTTCTTTCTCTCTCCTGTTATTGCTAAGAGTGGAGCAATATATAGAGGTGTGGTAATTGCTCCATAATTAAAGTTGCAGCTGACTTTGCATTTTTGGCCTTGCCATTAAAATCTGCCAAGTAACTTACTGTATGGGGCCAATGTGACTTTAAGTATAACTTTTCTACCAGACTGGCAGTCAATTGGATGGGATTTCTGTGATAAGGAGGTGCTCAGAGTTCAAAAACTCTTAATGTTTTTGTGCCACTTTGTAGCAAAAAGCAGGAGAGAAATAATTTGGCTTGCTGGAGTCCCCTCAGTGAGACCTAGTGACCATCCGAAGAAGTGGGCTGTAGTCCACGAAAGCTTATGCTCTAATAAATTTGTTAGTCTCTAAGGTGCCACAAGTACTCCTGTTCTTCTTTTTGCGGATACAGACTAACACGGCTGCTATTCTGAAACAAATCAATTGAGTTGATTTAAAATCTACTTTCAAGGGATTAGTAAGCTCTTACTCTTGAGTGTGCAGCTTTCTATAGATAGCTCGTCGCCAACTTTGGTCCAGATCATTCAGTGCCTGCTGGAGAAGACTTAAGCTTTTCATTTTCTTAAAATGTCTCTAGCCCTTTTTCATGCCAAGGCAACTCAAAATGTAACCTAATCGCTAAGGGAAGACTTGTCAATGGAAACGAGGATTTCCCACCCAAAGGCACTCATGATGGGGAGACTTCCCATCTTGGCCAGGGGTGTGTGTGTGTGTGTGTGTGTGTGAGAACTGGGCGTGTGGGGTGGCTTGTCAGGCCTGCAGGAAGGGAGATGGCCCATTGAGCCTTGGGAGGGTTGTTATGCATGCACACTTGAGCTTTAGTTGACTCTATAGCCCCCTTGTGAGCCTTCTGATGGGAGACTCCTCTTCATGCTGGATCGCCTGCTAGGATCAGCTGGGCCTATCTCACCTAATCAAGAGAGACCAAAGTGCCTGTGATGGCAGCAAATTGGTCTCCTGAGGACTGAAGTGCTTTGGTCTAACTGAAATCACTGGGCTCAGTATTGAGGTATCTGGGTGAAATGGAATAGCCTATGCTCTCCAGGTCAGACTGGATGATTTAATGGTCCCTTCTGGCCCGAAACTATGAAAATCTGCCTGGTCTGTGCCTTTAGAAGACAAGCTCTTCAGGACAGGGAGGCTGTCAGTTGGGCACATCAGACCCACTGCCCAGTTGGATCTAGCTCCAGGGAATTATAGTGGTGAAGCTGTCTACAGGACCTTTACCAGCTAACATTTCAAGTCTTCTGGAGCTAACAATCAATGCATTATCTCCCACTTCTGCATACTAATGTACTGCTGGCTTCACCTCTTTGAGACAGTGTAAAGTAATGGCTGTTGTGGTAAGACTGTCAAAGCATATGGGAGTCAAGTAGTGGGGGGAGGAGCAAGAGGGGAATCGGAATGATGTGACTTCCTTCCACCTCTAGCTGGTCATGAGGCGTTAACCTTGGAAGTATCCAATCTCATTTGAAAGCTGATGGTCTGGGGATCTCAGCTTGCAAACAACATAAAGCACTTGTTACTAGGCCTGAATGTAGCAATGTATATAGAGGGCCAAAAATTAGGTGGGACCGCACACTTCCAGGAGGACAGCATATCCAGTATATAATGAGCTGTGGTAACAGATACTGACCTCCACAGTCTTTGGAGTCATTAGTTAGATAGCTAAGTTTAAACTCCCCAGCATGCCAAAGTCCAGTGCTTGGGTACTGGGAATCTTGGCGCTTCCTGCAAGAACTTTCTTTGCTGAGCAGCCTGGGAATTAAAGTCCTGGTGAATCACAGTGAGCAAACAACTGTCAAACAGTGTCACTTTAACAACAACTGATGGCCCCTTTGCCTTTGTATTCCTCAAACAACCCCTCCCCTAATGCAAGGTTCAGGGTGCATGGAAAGAGTTTTAAAAATCTTTTAAAGAAAGAAAAACTGTTTAAGACGCCAAAGTATTAAGTGTGGAATTGGGTGTCTAACTCTACTCCAGATGAAAGAAGCAAAGGGTCTTCCAAACATTGACTCTATTCTCTCTTTGCCGCTTTGCGGTGTGTAAAGGCCTGGAAGGTCAGGAGGTTTTGTGTTGGGGTTGGATTTTTTTTTTTGAATACTCTATTACCTTTGAAATGTTGGGTACGTCTGTCTGGTCTCTCCTGGTTTTGCTTGAGGACTCACTGGTAGTCCCAGAAATGGGGAGCTTGAAGATTCCTGTGTGAGGGTTTTAAGAGACCAACAGTCAGAATAAAAATCACTGCCCTGATTAGTCAGTTGGGATTCTCTTTTTTGGTCTGTGTAGTGTCTTCATCTGCCCAGTTCCCCACTTCTTAGTACCCGATCTAACTTGTAATATTAAAACCCGACAGAGCCTCTCTACATCCCAGAGAAACAAAGGGAACACACATTTCCCCCCCTCTTCTCTGGTCACCTTGACAAATGCTCTGGAGGAGGCAATTTTAATCTTTTCTGTGGCTAGAACATAATAATAATTCTGGGATTTCTCGATGGAAGTGCTGCTTGGTAGCCTCTCCCTAGCTACTCCTGCTAATGCTGCCGAAGGATTAACCTGCTTGTGGGTTGTAGCATTTGCCTCAGCAATACAACTTCAAAAGCCAGTGCAATGCCACTGCTCATGGAGAGCGGCTGATGAGGCTAGAACTAATGTGGTAAGTGGCCCTAGGAATGCAGTAGAGTGATGAAACATTTAAAGACAAACTCACAACTGGTATTACTTCTCCCAGAAGCTTCAACCAGCGTCTCTGTCCTATTGTTAGTGTAGCCAGTTAGAAACTGTGCAGACCAGTGTGGAATTTGAGATCAGGCACCAGACTGGGAGTCAGGAGACTGGCTTTGCCACTGACTCCTCATGTACCAGTCACTTCACTGTCTCCTTGCCTCCATTTACCCATCTGTTAAATGGGGATAACAATACCGACCTTTGTAAAGTGTGCTGCGATCCCAAGATGTAAAGCCCCTCTAAGTGCCAAGTATTAAAAGAATTTGGTTGGAGTTTTTGGGGTGGGATTGTCAAAAACTCCTGCTCTAAAAGCTAACTCTTAAATCCCACACTCTTCCTGTATCCAAAAAATTGATAAGCTCCTCAGGGAGAGGAGCAATGCACAATGGATGGGATCCCACCTGGGCAAACACAGGGTTTTGAGTTGAATTGTGATTCCCCAGGTACTTCTTGGAAATCTACAAGGAGCAGGGTGCTTGTGAATATCAGTGCCCCGTTCATGGGTGCATATCGGTCTGATGGAGCAGGTCAAACGTGGTGCCCACAGCCAAACACGTTTGGTTGGCCTGGCTTACATCTCTTTGGCGGGTGCTATTCTTTTAATGCCATTGCCCCACAGCAAATAAAGATCAAGTGAGGTCCTTTTCTGTGGTTGCCCTCAGTGCTCTGCTCCTGTCCATGCTTCATCTCTAACCCTTTTGCCGACACTGGTACTGCAGGCAGAGGAGGTGGGTGCCTTGTGAATCAACCTGCCGGCAGGGGGTTGGTAAACTTCAGGTGCTTGTTCCTAGCAGAGAGGCCTTGAATTTGGCAAATCAAAGGGACGCACTCTCAACTGTTTTTTTTTTAAATAGGGACTGTAAACAGAAAGGTCTTTTCCTCGTTGGCATTACTTCCCCCTGGAACAGTTAATTAAATTGCACTTGTCACTAGTCTGTTTCCTTTGCATTTCTTGCTGCTCAGACAACAAAAGTGATTTCAATCAGTTTGTGCAGTGCATATGGTCCCTTTCACCTTCAGGTGGTTAGTAGCAATGGCTGGGTTGCAAACACCACCGGTGATGTGCATTCTTAAAACAAAAAGAACGAGGAGTACCTGCGGCACCTTAGGGTACGTCTATACTTACCCGTTGGTTCGGCGGCAAGCAATCGATCTTCTGGGATTGATTTATCGCGTCTTGTCTAGACGCGATAAGTCGATCCCGAAAGTGCTCGCCGTTGACGCCGCTAATCCTGCTTTGCGAGAGGAGTAGGCGGAGTCGACGGGGGAGCCTGCCTGCCGCGTGTGGACCCGCAGTAAGTACCTTTAAGTTCGAACTAAGATACTTCGACTTCAGCTACGTTATTCACGTAGCTGAAATTGCGTATCTTAGTTCGAACTGGGGGCTTAGTGTGGACCAGCCCTAAGAGACTAACAAATTTAAAACTATTTCCCCATGCTAATTTTCCCCCTACTGTTCCACCTTCTTGTCAACTGTTGGAAATGGGCCATCCTGATTATCACTACACAAGTTTTTTTTCTCCTGCTGATAATATCCCACCTTAATTGTTAGAGTTGGTATGGCAACACCCATTTTTTTCATGTTCTCTGTGTGTGTGTATATATATATCTTCCTACTGTATGTTCCCCTCCATGCATGTGATGAAGTGGGTTTTAGCCCACGAAAGCTTATGCCCAAATAAATTTGTTAGTCTCCAAGGCAGGGGTGGGCAAAACTACGGCGGCCCGCGGGCCCATCCTGCCCAGCCCCTGAGTTCCTGGCCCAGGAGGCTCGCCCCTGGCCCCTCCCTTGCTGTCCCTCCTCCCCCGCAGCCTCAGCTCGCTCGCTCCGCTGCTGGTGCAGCGCTCTGGGCGGCGGGCGGCTGTGAGCTCCTGGGGCCTGACCCGGTCTCTGTGCTGCATGGTGGCGGCGGCGGCGCAGCTGTAGCACCGCCAGCCACTGGTGCTCCAGGCAGCTTGGTAAGGGGGCACGGAGCAGGGAGGGTTGGATAGGGGGCAGGGAAGTTTGGGGTGGTGGTCAGGGGGCAGGATAGGGGTCGGGGTGGTTGGGGGGTGGAATAAGGGGTTGAATGGGGGCAGGGGTCCGGGGGGGGCAGTCAGGAAAGAGGGGGGGTTCGATGGGGCAGTCAGGGGACAGGGAGAAGGGGATGTGTGGATGGGGCAGGGGTCCCGGGGGAGGGCACCACCCTCTCCCCTAACCGGCCCTCCATACAATTTCCGAAACCCGATGCCATCATCAGGGCAAAAAGTTTGCCCGCCCCTGCTCTAAGGTGCCACAAGTACTCCTCCTTCTTTTTGCTGATACAGACTAACACGACCGCCACTCTGAAACCATTCTTAAAACAGTTATTTGCACTTTAAAAGAAAATGTTTCCATGTTTCTGTAAGTTATATAAAAGCTTGTTGTTATCATTGGCTGTTTCATAAGTGCTCCAGGCCAGGGATTGTCTCTCGCTTGTGTCTGTAGTGTGCCTACCACAGTGCGGGTCTTATGTACTACAGCACCAACCAAGAATATCTCTACCTTGATGTGATGGGAAGGTTAGTGTGTAATTACTTCTCAGATCCAGATGAGGGTGTTGGAGTCCCTTTAGCACTTGGTCATCCATGTGGACGCAAGAGGGTGCTGTTGGCTGTTTGATGCCAATCAGATGTGTTTTGATTTATTCTGTTTTCAGTTAAGTCCTATCCTAACCTGTTCTGGTTTTCATACCCCCTGAAGCAGCTGCTGGCTGGTGAAATTGACAACTGACTGGCTGAGCGCATGTGCCTATCGGGAATACATCCCGCCCGAAAGCCTGTTACATGTTAACCTGCTGCTCTCTCCCATCTGAGACCCCCCACTTCTGCAAGTGTCCTTGAGCCAGTCCTCTCCTGTCAGCAGAGTCCAGTTGGAGAGGCAGGCACCCTTTTCTCTTGCCTTGCCATGGTGCCCACTGAAATCATCCTGAGCATTGGTGGTCCAGCGGTGGCAGGTGCTAGCCGAGAACTTTGGAGAGCCCGTTTCATTTCCTTGCTCTGCTGCTGACTTTCTGCATGACCTTGGACAAGTCACTTAGTCTCTCTGTGTCTCAGTTCCCCATCTGTATAATGGGGATGATGGCACTGCCCTGCCTCACAGAGGGACTGTGAGGATAAATAAATTAAAGATTGTGAGATGCTGGGGTACCATGGTAACAGGGGCCACATAAGATGTCTCCTCACCCCTTGCTTACCATGGACTTCAGGACTCTTTCCACAATCAGTTATGTGATTGCTCAGAAAGACCCTCTTGCCAGAAAATGTCTCTGGCTAAGGCTTGTGCTGGGGTTTCCATCATTGCTGCCCTCTGCAGAGTCGTGTAACCGTGCTTTGCTCCCAAGCTCTGCCAAGACGAACACCTGTTGCTTGCTATAAATTGAGAGCCCACACTGCTATTAAATAAACATCAGAAAGCGCAGTCTAAAAGAGCGGCCACTGCCACGTCACTTCATGCAAAATCAAGCTCTGCTGTCAGTTGCAATAACCACACGGCAATTTAAGGGGTTGGATTAATGACTTATTGGGAGCCAGATATATATAGGGCTGGGAGCACATTGGGTGCTGAACTCTGGCCTGTGGTCCTGTAAACTTTGCACACGATGTTTTGTGCAGCTAGAAAGATACAGTGCAACTCTGAGGGCCAAATTCTGCTTGCTTAATCTGGGGTAACTGCTGGGGATGATGGAGTTGCACCAGATTTTGCAGGGTGTACATGAGAGGAGAGTCTGGCTCTAAAAAATAAGAAGCTAAGACAGTACAGGACAGGACTTCAGAGGCAAGGAGACTGAGGCCTTGGCTACGCTTGCGAGTTACAGCGCTGTAACACCTCCCCCAGCGCTTTAACTCGCTCCCCGTCCACACTGGCAGGGCACTTGCAGCGCTGTATCTCCCTGGGTACACCGCTGCAGGTACTCCACCTCCCCGAGAGGAATAACAGCTGCAGCGGAGTGGCTACGACTCACGGGTGTGAATGTGGCCAATCCTCTCCATTGTTGTGACCGGCTGCAGGAATGCGGAAGTGCCGGTTTCAAAGCTCCTACCACAGAGAAAAAGCAAACAGTTTGCAGCTTGCTTTGAGTGAGTGAATGAATGAGCAGAGGTCCGGGAGTTCGGAACTTGCAAAATAGAGAGCTGACATGCTCCAAAAAGCACTCTCTCTCCCCCCCCACTCCCTGTCACACTCCCCCCCCCCCCCCCGACACTCCCTTTCACAATCCACACACCCCCACCCAGTTTTGAAAAGCACGTTGCAGCCACATGAATGCTGGGATAGCTGCCCATAATGCACCGCTCCCAACACAGCTGCAAATGTTGCAAGTGTGGCCACACCACTGCGCTGGCAGCTGTCAGTGTGGACAGACTGCAGCGCTTTCCCTACTCAGCTGTACAAAGACAGGTTTACCTCACAGCTCTGTACAGCTGCAAGTGTAGCCAAGGCCTTAGTGACAATGAT